AAAAACTGTTTATTTTGTTAACTGGAGCATGGCAGATGTGGAAATCTAAGTATTGAGATAGTCACATGGTCAGAATTTCTGTTGGTGCCTGAACTGTACAATCTCTTCCCAACAATGGCATACCTCATCTACATCCAGAGAATTTGCTACAACTTGACTTTTTTTTCTTTATTTTTTTTTTCACGGAACATGAATATTGCTGGAAAAGCCAATATTTGTTGCCTATCCAAATTGCCCTTAGACTGAGTGTCTTGCTAGGCCATTTCAGTTAAGAGTCAACTGCATGCCTATCAGTGTGGAGCCATGTGTAGGCCAGATCAGATAAGGACAGCAGGTTTCCTTCCCCGAAAAACATTGGCCAACCAGATAGACTTTTACTGTTGCTAATCATTACACGATAGTGACTAGCTCTCATTTCCAGATTTTTATTAATTTGGATTTAAATTTTAATTTAAGTTATACCAACTCCCACAGTGGGATTTGAATCCACGTCACTACAGCATTTAGCTAGGAACCTACAAATTGCCAACTAGTGACTACATCACTATATCACTATCTTCCCCAAGACCCAGTCCCTGCTTAAGGGGGCCCTCAAATGCGTACAACAGAAAATATTGTAAATCAACAGGATAAAGATTACATTGCTTATCAGTGCAATTAAGCTTCACAAAGTCTGCTCAGTTATAACCAACTGAGACACCGGCTTACAAGTCAGAGAATGAGAAGATTCCCAGTGTGCAGTGCAATGATTCTGTCTAAGTCAGATTTGGCAGTCCAATGCCCAACTCTTTCTTGTTTTGTCACCATGAAACCATCCTGGACAAATGCTGCTTTCTTCATTTCCCTCCTCTCTCAAGGTGATGCACACCAGCCGGTTATTAGATGACAACTGAGGTTCCACCTTGTCTCGACAGACAACAATGCCAGGAAGTCTTCACAAGTGACAAGATGAAGAGGAAATCTCAGTGTCCTGAAATGGCAAAAATACCACCAGGCTACAGCATGGAAAAAATCATATTTCAATAAATGTAACTTCCTCCATTTGGAGGCACAGATTTGCAGCAGCATAAGCTCTGAAAATTCTGAACATCTCAGCCTGCATTTTCATACCCATTCTCCAAGTAAGTCTGTTGCTAGACAAGGACTCAGTCTCCTTTCAGTAAAATAGTTAGATATCTGCCTTCAGAATGTTGGAAGGATCTGCACGAAGCAGCTTATGATATGCCAACTAGTTTTATGTTCTACACCCAAGGTCAGCTCACAGTGGACAATTTTTAAATCAACCTACTCATAAGATGCTTTTATGCCAGAAGAGGAGTCCATTGAAAGGTTGATCACTCCTTTCAATGTGCTGAGCAAGAGATCATGTTAACCTAGAGCCTGGTTTCCCTGCAACAGTCGGCTTTTTTGGTCACAAATCCATCTGACAGTTTCATTTGCTCGATGTAAGCACTTTCTCCAGACAATGGAGCATTGTACAGCTTAGGGTACAAACTATAGGGCAGATCTTGCATGTGACAAAAACAACCTACATTTGAACTTTACTGTAATTACACAATAGAAAGATTCAAGTGCATGCGACAGAAAAAGTAATCAGAATTTACAGTTATTCCCAGAGAAAGACAAGTGGGTTTAGGATGGCATGGTTTCACAATTACAAAGTGTTAGCGCATCTTTCTCTGGTCTGCTATGCATTTCCACCAATACAAGGCCAATGTACCCCTGACTTTCTTCCACCACATTTCTGAGGACAGGAGCCTGCACTTGCAGGGGAATCAAAAACTGCTAACATAGTTTGATATACGAGGATTTCCAGTTAAGACTGAAAGGGGGAGCAACTTCATCTCCCAGAGGTTTATGGGATTTTCTGCTCCTGAGAGCAGTGGAGGCTGGATCATTGCATATATTCAAGGCTGAGTTAGACAGATTTTTGATCAACAAGGCAGTTAAAGGTTTTAGGGGTCAGGGAAGAAAGAAGAATCAAGGTCACAATCAGATAAGCTGTGATCATATTAAATGGTGGAACAGACTCAAAAGGGCCAATCAGCCTCCTCTTGCTCCTAGTTCTTATAATCCTTTTAGTGGTACAGGCAATGGTAGGATGACAACCACCACTGGCACACAGGATGTGCGCACCCTAACAGACAATGCGATAGTTGACATACAAGAAGAAGAACTGCTCTTGGCAAGAGACAGCCGGGACATGCAAAGCCCAGATCAGCATCCTCAGAACACATTTAACTGAGGAGAGTCATCTCAGGTGAACTGGTGCAGGCTACACATTCTCTTGGAGTGGCCATGGAAAAGAAGAATTGCATGAAACCAACAGAGCTTCAGTGTCATCAGCCATCATGTCAGCATATCAACATCTTCCCAAGTGTTCATGATTGTCTGATGGAGCTTCAATGAGCCTGCACAGCATCAAGCAAGCTACTTTCCTCAGTGTGCATCAACACAACTGACCCTGAGGGAGGGAAGTTTAAATTCTACAATGACCTCCTACTCCTTGATTGCTACTGTGTCAAAGTGAGACAAGTAAATCATTCTTCATGAATTCAATGCAAGGGTTTGTGCCGATCACCAGAGGTGAAAGGGGTCATCAGGAAAAGATAGTTGGCAGTTGTAACATCTCTTTGAAGATATGTATTGATATTTAATAGCTCAGGCTCAATACAATTTTCTGTTTCCCAAATTGCAACAAGACACCTTGGATGAACAGCCTCCTCCCATTACATGTACAACACCTAATCAACTGTATCATCACCATGATGAATGATAGGCAGATGCAGGTGTAACAGAAGCCATAGACAGAACTGACTGCTGGGCTGACTCTCGTTTTTGATATTGAAACTAAACATCAGGATCTATCCCTCTAGCTATACATACCTGTCTCCACAACAACCTCCCACCCACCATGAGGGAATGGAGGCCTGATTGAGACTTGAGATATTAAGAATCTAACAAGCAGTCATGAAGAAATTGTTCTGAGAAACTCAATGGTCCTTTCTGCGCAACAAAATATGGGCACCCAATGCACTGAGAGCGATTTGGTGATATGGTGTTCTTCACAGCTTCAAAAGTCCTTGGCTTTTCATTTCATTAGCATCAAGATTGGAGGCAATGCCAAAGTAAGCTTAATGAGATATTATGACACAGTAGGTTGCGTATACTGCCCCAAAGTGCAGTGATACGAGCACACATTGAGCAAAATGACAAGATCACTGACCAGACAAACAATTTTTTCTTGGATAGGATCATTTTTCTCAAGCGTGCTGCTGTGATGACACACAACCAGGTGAACGATGAACACTGCATCACATTCCTGGCTCAAGACTTATTCCCAACTGATGAATCAGAAACAGCTTCAAAGTAAAAGGATCACATTGCATTGGATACATGGCACAGAAACAGGCCATATTGCTCAAAGTTACCCATGCTGGTGTTTATGCCCACTTGAGCCTTCTCCCATCTTTATTCTTATAAAGCTTCCTCTACCCTTTTCTCCCTTCTATACCTGTCTTGCTTCCCCTTAAATGCTACAGTACTTTTACTATTATCGTAGCGAGAGTTTCACATTCTCATCACTTTTTAGATAAAGAGGTTTCACCTGTATTCCCTATTGTGATTCTTGGTGGTTATCTTATTAAATGTTAACCGAAAGCATTCTCTTCAATATAAAATTGCCACTACATGTTGCGTGTTCTTTCCGACTCTCACCACATATCAATAAAGCAACATCACTGTGAACAATGGATCTTTATTCTACATCTGACTAGTTCCATATCATTATTACTATGAAAGACAATAGTGTTTAATAAGATTGAAGAGCTGTCAAAAAGGCTGTTAAAAGCCATTGGTAAATTACAAGTGTATTTCCCGGTTGAGGACTGCAGAAACTATTCATCTCCCTCCAAAATAGCAAGCATCCAAGCAATGAGCAGTAGTTTTCTTTCATTGGTACAAAATGAGATATAAAACAAAAAGATAAGTGCTTACCAGTTGTGCATTCTGAATATAATAAACAAGTCATTGATTACAATCATTGACGGCAAACCTGCCTGGTAAAATACCACACCAAATATTACAGTCTCCTCAAAAATCAAATGAACTTTAATCTATATAAAACTCATTAAAGTGAGAGTAAAGCTATAAATGTGAATGTGTCATCAAGTTTTTAAGCTTGTTAATTTACAACATTGTCTTGTTGGAATGCATTATTCGGGCAGTTTCCATCTGGATGTGAGGAAGAGCAATTAACCAAACAAAATCAGAATGTACAAAATGAATTTCACCATTTCATCAAACAAGCAGTGAAGCACTTGCATGTGGTTTACTCTTCCTGACTCGCTAGAAGGAGTTCTTCGGACTGTAAAAGAATTCCCTTCAAAATAAAGTTTACCTTCCTGCTCTCAATACTCGTCCTTTCCATCAAGGTTGCAAGGAAGACAAGAAATTGCATCTCTCATCTAAAAGCTCCATACTGCAGCTATTGTAACCAGGCACTCTAACTGTGTTGTTACACTAAAGCAAGCAAAATATGATTGCATTAAGAAGAATAGGAGCCAATGTTCTCCTTCTAAAGTGTTACAAATCTCCTGAAAATCCAATCCAGTTGCCAATGTGCTCATGATAGTTATTTTAGGTTATCTTTCCTCCTCACAACAAATGAAAAATTTCATTCCAATTGGCAGAGCAGACAAGCAATCTGACAGTAAGTTTTCCACTCAAGTGCTTCTCTTTGTGCAGCTCATATTATGAACTCATTGTGAGGGGGATCTAGGTCATCAAACCATGTTCTATCAATCACTTTGCTTTGCTTGGCAGAATGCCACATAGTATTAGTATTCCACCCAGGAACTTCTTTACCAATGTACTTGGCTTGATGAGGATGTTACTTCAAGAATGAAACACATTTTATTCATAAACTGCATCAGGTAATTGTGCATGGTTCTAAATGCACTGTTGAATAGAAACATGCCACCAATTCCCAGAAATCTTACCTGTGATTGATCCTAGCAGGACAGTGTTCTTGATGTGTTTGTAGACATAATCATACGTTAGAGGTTTGAGAGGAGACCCAGTTGACAGAATGGTATGTAGAGTCTGCAGACTGTGAGTTTCGCCTGAAAAAGGGAAATATGACTTAAATTTCAATTTTAGAGTTAACTATTATGTTTATTAATTTTCATAATATTACTATTCACTCTAAAATAGAATTTTGACAAGTTTCATAAATTTGTATAACTTTCATTATAAATATTAGGTTTTTAAATACTTACACTTTTTTCCTCCTGACAATTGAGTTTATTAAACTAATTTCTTTCACAACAGATTTTTAAATATGAACTAATTTGTCTCATTGGAATGACAAACATAAGTGACATTTTATCTTATTTCATCTTCATCACTTGTAACTTGAGAATTGAGATGTAACTGCAATTAAAGCATCTTTGTTCAGATAATGTAAGCATTTTGCAACACTTTAGAGTCAAGAATTGTGGTAGTTATTAAATACCAAGTTCTATATGGCATGATACAAATAAATCCATAATTGATAAGACCTTGATACACAAGTCCTTTTGCAAAGGAAAGAAAATTATGACAGCATAACTCTGAATAGAATGACAAAATTTCAATCATTTTATCTTCTTAGTTGGCATGGCTTTTCAAGTTGGCAATAAATACTCAAGGTCACTTTGGAAGTATCACTGTTACTTGATTTGGTTACCAGAATCTCCATCATTAACATTTAATCAAAACAGAATCAGAAACAGAAATTGCTGGAAAAGATCAGCAGGTCTGGCAGCATCTGCGAAGAGAAATCAGAGTTAATGTTTCAGGTCAAGTGACACTTCCTCAGAACGGACTTGACCCGAAACAGTTAACTCTGATTACTCTCCAAAGATGCTGCCAGACTGCTGAGATTTTCCAGCAATTTCAGCTTTTGTTTCTGATTTACGGCATCCGCAGTTCTTTCAGTTTTTAATCAAAACAGATTTGACTTCACATAAAGAGCATTAGCCTTGTTAGAACCCGATGGCCTTTTGTAGATAAAATTTTCCTGTACTCAGGCTCTGAAATAGGCCTTTCTGTCAGAGCCCTGGAATCTGTCAAATCAAAATCTAACCACTAATGTTTGAAAGCAAAGTTTAAAAGGGCTGTTAAATCTAAGTACTGGCACAAAAACAGCACTAAAAATGTACACCGATTCCAGCAGAAGCATTCTCAAGAATCTGTAGTGAAGTATTAGTTAAAAGTCCAGTACATACTTAATGTGCAAATTGTAGTGGCACGAGTGATGGAATTGCAGTAATTCTACAGGGAAAGAAATTAGGCTTGTTTCACACAATGTCTACATACAAAAGGAATAATGATCCTTTAAGTAATTTTTGCAAGGGTTCAAGTTGTTGCATAAGATTGACAATGCTTCCACGTGAAACTAAATTATTATTATGGCAGCTCATGTCAAAAGAAACTCAACAGATCTGGAATGTACCACCTCAAATGGGTATTGCAATTACATTCAATGACAATTTTAAACAGGGAATTTAATAAATACTTCAAGGAAAGCTATGTTCAGGGCTATGGAGGAAAAGAACAAGGAGTGGGGCTAATTGCACAGCTCTTCCAAAACACCAGCAAACACTGGAATGTTAGGGGATGGGGTCTCCTTTTGAGCTGTTTCCTTTGTGGTTCTGTGGGCTAAATTATGAGAAAGTATAGTCCTCAAATAATTTATTAATTTTACATAACAGTTGAAAATTCATAAAAAGACACAATGTTTAAGAATCCATATCAAGTAAAACAAAATCGAGCATATTTTCGTTACCCTCCCCTCGCCAAAGCATTACCTGGTTTCAGATTTTTTTCTTCTAAAACAGCCAACCATTTTGCACCAGTTCCAAGTATAGTAATTCTGAGGAAGGAATGGGGAACAGAAGGAAAATTATTTGGTTGTTAATTTCTAATTTGTTTCCTCTTGTGAGCTTTTCACCAGAGTTCTTATTTTTGCCTTCAGAAAACGAGGTGAAAATGCTTTAGAATATCCATATTTTGGATATGAACATCAGGCATCTTATATAGGTCAGACGTAATTTAAGTTTTGCTCTTTTAGAACAAATCATTTTGATTCCAATGCCTACACAATCATAAGAATACAACAAGGCCATGCAGCCCATTGAGCCTGCCACAACATTCAGTACAATCGTGGCTAATGAACACTAGAATACCTTCTACTCACCATACCTCCATAACGCTCAATGCTATTGGTAATCAGAGATCTTTCAATCTGTACCTTAAACATCTTCAAAGACTGATCTCCTACAGCCATCTCAGATAGAGAATTACAAAAGGTTCACAACCCTCTGAGTCAAAAAAAAAAATCTCCTCATCTTGGACTCAGTAGCATTCAATTCTTTTTAAAATTGTGCCTTCCAGTTCTAGACTACCCAACGGAGGTGTGTGCGAGCGTGCGTGAGAGTGCATGATCCTATCTGCATTTAAGATCTCTATTCTTTTAGGTATCTTGTAGGTTTCCATGAGACCACCTCTGATTCTTTGAAACTCCAGAGAACATTGGCCCATTTGCCCAAACTCTCGTTAGTATCATGCCATCATCCCTGGAACAAGACCAGTGAACCTTTGTCACACACTGTCTATGACAATAATATCTTTTCTGAGATAAGGAATCCTCTAGATGTGGTCTACAAAACCACTTTACAACTGACGCAAGACTTCACTATTCCTGTACTCAAATCCTCTTTTGCAGAGGCGATGGCCTAGCCTATTATCACTAGACTATTGATACAAAAACTCAGCTAATGTTCTGGGTACCTGGGTTCAAATCCCACCATTGCAGATGGTGGAATTTGAATTCAATTAATAAAAAAGTGGAACTAAGAATGTACTGATGACCATGAAACAGGAAACACCCATCAGGCCCATTTATGTTCTTCCTTCGGGGAAGGAAATTGCCATCCTCACCTGGTCTCGCCTACATGTGACTCCAGACAACTAGTCGAGCAACAGCTTTACATAGTTATACTGAAGGAATCATACCTTATAGACAACATCACAGACACCACCATCACCATCCCCAGATATCTTCTGCCCCACCGGAAGGACAGACCCAGCAGAGGTGGCGACACTGTGGTATACTATCGAGTTCCCAACATTGACTCCAGACCCCCATGAAGTCTCATGGCTTCAGGTTAAACATAGGCAAGGAAACTTCCTGTTCTCCCTCTGCTGACGAATCAGTGTTCCTCCACGTTGAACACTTGGGGACAGCGCGGAAGGTGGCAAGGGCACAAAATGTAAACTAGATGAGGGGTTAAAATGTCCAACACAAACAGTGGCTCAGCAGCAGCATTTCCAATCAAACTGGTTGGGTCCTAAAGGATACTGCTGATACACTGCTCCACAAACGTCCCCATCCTGAATGGGGGAAGAGCCTAACACCTCTGTGCAAATGGCAAGACTGAAGCATTCGCAGCAGCCTTCAGTCAGGAATGATCATCTCCAATAAGAGAAATTCTAACCACCACCCGTTGACATTCGATGGTGTTACCATCACTGAATCCCACACTACCAACATTCGGGGGGGGGGGGGGGGTTTACCATTGACCAGAAACTCAAATGGACTCACCACGTAGACACAGTTGGTACAACAGCAGGTCAGAGACTAAGGAAATTTCAAAAAAATTTGTCAGTAGTGTACTAACTAACACCCTGCTCTGGATCATTTTTAGCAATTACTTTGTGATGTAACAAGGTTGGGGGGTGCGGTATGTAACCTCAGTGCCCACTAAGAAAGATACAAACTAGCAGCAAATATAATACCAAGAAGCTGAACCTTCGAAGATCAATAAAAATATAAGCAACCTCTTTTCAATGTTTGAAAGAGGAACAATCTTACTGTATGGAAAATCAGTTCGAGTTACATTTACGTTCTCTTCAATCTCACATAAAATTAATTTATTAGTCAGAAGCATCTATAAACATTGGACTGCATTACATTAAAAAGGGCAACATTAGAAAGCTCTGCAAGTGAAAAAGGGAATAAATTCCATCCCCAAATCAACAGGATCTCATCTCGTATTTTCAATCTAAGGTCATAGATAATTTTTCTTTTGAATGCAGAGACCACGTACTTCTATCAACTGAACTAAAGCACAGACTGATTTTTTTGTAATTTCACATTTTTCCCCAAAGCTTTATCAAGATATGCATCAATAACATTTGTAATCTAAGAAATTGTACTTTGAACAGCTTACTTAAAAATCAAGCTGATAGAGATTTTAAAATTGTCTTCAGTCGTGCAACAGTGTGATTCAGATGTTCGGTCAAACTACTCTTTCATGTAGGCTGACAGCCTATACTGTAACGCATCAATCATTTTAAATGGCAGAAGATGAAACTGTTGTGCATCACTATGACTATGTAGTTGCTTGTCCACATGTATTAGAACTTAGAACATACGTGCAGACAGGAAAAACGATATTCAAAACAAATTGAGGAAAATTATGCAGCTTCAGCTCATTCCATACTATTCAACACCATTTTGTGTGCCCTTATAAAATTCTGTTTAACATACCATTTTATTTGTGGCAGATATAATATAGATCACTTATTCGTGAGAAGGTCAAAATAAACATGCAGAAGAATCAGTGACCTGATTTAGTCTTGATGCCCTGTACAGTGACAGAATTTTGCAACCTTAGCTAGGAGCATGGCAGCATGAAGCTCCAGCAAATAAAATGTGCACATTGTTGGGCTTTCTATTATTTACAGGCTACAGGAAAGACACTGCACTTTTATAATAAAACAAAACTGCAGATGCTGAAGATCTGAAACAAAAATAGAAATTGCTGGAGAAACTCAGCAGGTCTGACAGTATCTGTGGAGAGAAAGCAGAGTTAACATTTCAAGTCCCTTTTTTTGGGGGGGTGGTGGTAAGCAGTAGACAGGGGGAGACCAGGCCCGTACAGAAAGACAGGCAGAGAGTTACACAGACAAAAGGGCAGCTGATAGTAAGCCAGTGAAGGAGAAAAGCAGATAATAGGGACAATGATTGGTGAAAATAGGTTGGCTGTGCTGAAAACAGCCTCTATCATAACAGGGCCAGAGATGTTGGGGTAGGAAAAAGGACGTGTAAGGTGATATTCGTGAAAATTATTGAACTCAATATTGAGTCCTGAAGGCTGCAAGGTCCCAAAGCAGAAGATGTTTGTTCTTCCAGCTTGCACCGAGCCTAACTGGAGTACTGCAGCAAGTCTGAGACAGTAATGCTGGCCAGGGAACACAGGGTGTGTATTGAAATGGCAGGCAACTGGAAGCTCAGGATCATTTTTACAGATAGAACCTAGGGGTTCCACAAAGCGGTCACCCAGTCTGCATTTCAACCCTCCAACGGTCTCCTCTTCATTAGATTACAGGGGTCTCCTCTGTGTAAATACCTCCTTCTCCTAGATATTATCAGGCTGTAAAACAGTCACTGGACCCGAAACACTAACTCTGCTTTCTTTCCTCAGATGCTGCCAGGCCTGCTGAGTTTGTTATCAATTTCTGTTTCTGTTTCAGTGAACTTATAATTGGATGTCCGAGAATTTGCCCAATGTGTCCATGCTTAATTTTAGGAGAATATGGCAAAATTATGCAATAAACAACAAAAAAGATAAAGAAAAGCAAAACACTGCAGATGCTGGAAATCTGAATTAAAAACAGAAAATTCTGGAAATATTCAGCAGGTCTGACAACAACTGTGGACAATGAAACAGGCTCAAAAGTTGCAGGTCTCTTAGAAACCCAATGGTTTTCAATCAAGTGAGGAGGAAGAAGAGTGAAAGGATGAACACAAAAAGACCAGGTTTCATGGTACTGTGCCAAAGGGAGCAACAATTAGACTAATAAAGAATCAAAAGATCTGCCAAGAAGAGATGACAATGTCAGGGTCCTGAACAGATACTGTCCAAAAATAAAAATCAAAGGAAATAAGAAAAAAAACAGCAAAGAAACATGAAACTAAATGCAGGCAGATGTTAGGATCTAAAAGTATTGAATTCCACATTACAGCCATCTGGATTCAAAGTGCCCAGTCCAAAGAAGAATATGTTGTTCCTCTAGCTTGAACTGAACTTCATTAGAACACTGCAGCAGATCAAGGACAGAAAGGTCAGAGGAGAAGCAAGATGATGCGCTAAAAGAGAAGTCAACTATAAAGGGGTAGTAGTGGTCATGCTTGCAGAATGAACAGAGATGATTCATTAAGTCACTGCCTTCATTTGGAATCCCTGCTGTAGAGAAAACCACATCAAGAGCAGAGAATACAGTACACAGGTTAGAGAGAGGGAGTATTGTCGGTATATCTGATCTGAGAGGGTCAAAAGAGCCAAGTTTTCATGGAGTTCAACCTACTTTATAATCCTTGTCCCACCCAGCATTTATACTTCTCTTTATAACAGATTTACCACCCCAGGAGATTTATATCTTTAAAGTGAGAGCTCTCGCAGATTGTTGGAAGTTTGTTGATTTTCATCTCCACTTGTTCCTGTCGTAATGGATACTCGTTGAGCACTAATGGAGGTAGCATGGCGGGGGGGGAGCGGAATAAGGTGGCATGAGTCACATGAATTGGAATGAGAGCTACAGAGCCTGAAATCTAAGCAAACCCCAGCAGTGGGCCTTTTATTCAGCCCATCTCTGCACTTTCCCAATCTCTTGGTCATCTCTAATCTGATTCTGGAGTGAAAGGTGCATGTGACAGAGGCCTTTATTTCAAGATGGGTCCACCAAGTCAGGAGATTTCCTGTCAAAGTACCAGCCTGAACAGAGAAAACCCAACCAAAAGTTTCAATTGTCAAGTTACTCTTATTACAATACAGAATCTGAGTTCAAAAATCTAAGCAAATAATCTAG